CTGTGCTGTCCACAGCAGGTTCTAGTAAAAAGAGACAGATCTGAAGGGAAGAGCTTTTTGAGGACCACAGTTAACAAGAGATGTATTATTTAATCTTATCACCAACTCTGTGAAGTATCACTCTTGAGTAAACAAGGAGATTGAGACATAAGTAACTTGTCGTAGGCCACTTGACTAGCAGGTGATAGACGTAGAATTTTACCTTCTGACTCACGCGTAGGCACTCAAACTCCTAACTAAATGCATACACTAAAAAGTTCTGCCAGACTTTTTTTTATGACTTATATTTTTTCTCACAGTTTCATGGATCTAGAAATGTCTAATTACCTTTACCATACTAGTTTCTATAAATTGATTTGCTTTCCTTAAGGGTTATATGCTCAAAACTTGTAGGTTTAACTCTTTGAATTTTGATGTATGTCTTCACTTGTCAGAAAAGTACATTATGCTAGTTCTGCCCCATCCCTATTCTCCCCAGTATATTGAAATCGTAGTACAGATCTGTAGCTACAGTAAGCAATTCTCTGAGGATGAAGAAAGAAACTGTACATTCACATAGGAATTTCTTTTCCAGAGCTAAAATTGACTTTTTATAAATAATTTCCGCGTTGCAAACTTGAGACCAAGAAATCACAGCAATCCAGTGATATGCATTTGGCATGAGTCAGTTTTAGTTCTTAGTGCTTTTCATTGGAAATGGCATAAAAAGTAAGATATCTCTGAATTTTTTATGCTCTGGGCTTACAAGAGACAGAAAATGTTTTTATCTTATAGATGTGTGGCAGTGCATAGCAGCAGAAGTAACGAAATGGTCACAAACCTCCACAGTATTTCAGTATTTCCCAGGTCACACTCATTCTTAACTTTTAAGGAATCTAGAAGCACACTAAGAAGTTGATAATAGCCATTTCCAGGCAGCCGTGTTTGCTGTGCTGCCGCCCTGCTCATGCTCTCATTTTCATAGTACGTCACTAGGTTTATATGCTTTTAAATATGTCACTGTGTTGTCTAGCTCCTTTTTATTTTATAAGTATTTAGCATTGATTTTGGTCTTAATTTTTATTTATCTATTTATTTATTTCTACCTATAGGTCTTAGGCCTACCATTATAGGTATGGAAGATTCTGATCCTCCCTTTTAGCTCAAGAAAGTGAATGCATTATAAATTTTAGCATCAGTTCTTTCTTTTGTTGTGTGATTTTGGAACACTTGCCTTGGTCATTGACTTCAGTGAGAGCGCAGTTGGAAATGCCCCTGGAAGCTACACTGAGAGGGCGAGGAGAGGCATGAGCAGGAACCACTGCTGGAAGTACATGCAATAAATGCTTTTTATTTTCATAAATTATAGTGAACATTGCTTAAAGAAAAAATAGCTCCCGCTGAATGTAAAAATTGGGATTGCAATTTGATGCTTTAGATATTTAGTCTGCTCTTTTAGTGACCTAGGAAAACATGGGTTGAAAAATAGCATATTGAATAAACTGTAGTATACTCATGGAAGAAGTAAAAATATGGATTAAAATGAATTTGAAAATAATTAGCTTAAATACTAAGCCAGATTCATCATTAAAATGAAATGATAGGTCCTTGACCCTTGGATGTGCTTGGAATAAACATGGAGCTCAGTATTGTTTTCAAAACTATTTTGCTTTTGTAAGCTAAGACAGATGTACAAGAAAGATGCAGTTTTTATTTTGTATTGGCAGCTTCCAAATATTTAGTATCTATTTCCAAGAGTTGCAATTAGTAAAGCAACCATGGTACTGAAGTCTGCACATCCCACAGCTAATTATATTTGCAGGGTCAGAGTGAATACATATTTTCAGAAAAATAAAGGGTTATATAAATATGTGTCTTCTACTTGGCTGTTATATCACAGTTTGTTGATCTGGAGTATAATGTGTACAATTCACAAATTTGTCTGATAACAGAAAGTGGTGTGTGATTGTGTTTATTTTACTAACCAGTATATTCACAGCAATCACTTCCAAATATCTCTCCAGTAAAGATGTGTTAATTACAAAACAGACAAGGTCTTCTATTATATTAAAGCTACTAACAAGAAGACAGCAGGAATCACACATGTAAATAGCATCATCAACCCCTATTTTAGTCCTCTGTTTTGATCTGTGAGTTGCGCATAGACCAAAGGTGCTATTAAAGACTGAGTGTATGAAATAGGCAGCATTATATGAACAAAATTTATTCAACAAGAAAACAGACCTTTAACATGAATTTAACAAGCCTGAGAAATTATAAACTATCATATGCTGCAGATTCATGCAGTGATAATAAACAAAAAAAAGGAAAGTAAGAGGTTTCCCTAAGCTAGCCAAACTGCTAATGGTTTTGTTATAAGCTGTCTACTGTTGCGGTGACCTCTGAAAAGTCTCAAGGCACTTGTACCAGAAGAAATTAACTGGTCAGGCTGGGAAATAGAGATTCATTGGCTTCACAGGGCTTCAACATGGACAGGATTTTTTATTTTTCATACTCCTCTGTGAAGGTTATTGTTGCTGTGAGGAGGTGATTTTGATGCTATGTCTCTTTGTTTCTTTTGTTTTTTTAATTTTGAGGTTCACAAGACAAACTGGTTTCATGTATACATATTTCAAAGTGAGCCATAAAAAAAGCAGAATGGCTTACGAATGGATTATTCTTTCTTCTCCTCCTCCCTTCAGTGCCTAAATTTTTGAAGGTTCTTTGTTTAGTATGTTGCATCCTGGTTTATTTTCCTGACTATGGAGTGACCACTTTGCTGTCTTTCTGTTGCATCATTCTGTAAATACACAAACATGAAGAAACGCCCTGAGCTTACACACGCCTCCAAGTTCTCACTGGGGCTTTTTCTTGAGTCTTACTGTGGCATAATTAACACCTTCTTCACCCATTGCTCATTAGTGTACTGGACATTAATGAGTCTATTTTGATAGGTTGTTCTAAAAGAAAAATCCACTTATTCTCACAGCAGAAAAGGCAATTATAAAATTGTATAGAAATTAAAATGTAGAATATATTGCCATTTTTTTATTGCATGCTAAATCTAATTTTGGTCTGCAGGTTTTTGAACATGTTAGTTTCCTTAAGACAGTTGCTATAGTGATTCCAAAAAATTCCTTTAATCTTAGTGTAATCATTTCTATTATTGCTCAGGAAGTATCGATCTGAACATATCATTTCATATGGGTCATAGTTTACTAGTTGAACAACATATTAAAATCTTACAGCATTGTTGGATAAAGCACCTTTTTATATTAATTTCGGGTTAAAAATAGATCATGGCATCCACCTAACTATGACCTAACCCACATTTTCATTTTTTAATGATGTTTCACACCCACTTATAATATCCATAGAAGTGAAACATCTTGCATGAAAATTGCTGTCTAATGTTTTAGTTTGAAAGCAGTTGGTATTAAAAATGTATTTAAGCATTTTATTGGGATGTAATATGAAATTTCCATAGTTGGTGAAATTTTTTCCTAGAAATGATTTTTACTGAACTCTTAAGAATGGCATCATAAAGAAGTTGAAACAAAACCAATGGTTTGCTGTCTTAATTTACCATTAATAATTAAAAACAATTGTGTAGGGTTACGATTAAATACTTGGCTTTGAAACAAAAGGAATTTTGGGGAAAATTGAGACCACAAAAATTAAAAGCAACATTAAAAACATTATTATCATCAATATTAGGACAATTGAAGTATACAGAGACCTTAGACTGTATTGTAATGTTTTGGTGTAATTTTATGTTTGCTGTAATTATAGCCTTTAGACTCCTCAGTGTATAGAAACACTTCTTTGTGTGAGACAGGGTCTCATCATGTAACTCAGGCTGGCTTCAACCTCACAGAGATCTGCCTGTCTCTGCCTGCTCCAGAATGCTGGGATTAAACTTGTGCACTATCAGGCTTGGCTAAGAAGTCCTCAAGATATATTTTTAGACCAAATTATATTACAGTTGGCTTAACTTGAAAATAGTAATTTTTAATATTTCCGTGTACTTACACAAGTTGTCTAACTAAAAACAAATGCAGATAGCAGTGACTTTTATAATCTGATAATCTCTTTTGTTAAATCTTTAAAAGGAAAATGAAGAAATTTTCAAGTCTTGTTTCAAGATTGTCTTGGAAAGAGGCAGTTTGTCTTAGTATTGCCTAAAGTGACACGTTTTTAAGAGCTTTATGTTCTTTCAAATTCAAATGACTATAAGCATGTCAGCAATTATAGTGGAAAATAGGTGATTCTTGTTAATCTCTTGATACGTAAGGGCTAATTAGCATGATGCTGGGTTATGAAGGAATTGAATCTATAATATACAACACACACACACACACACACACATATAGTTATTTCTTTCCATGACCTTGTAACCATGTTGTATTGTTTCTATCTGAAAGCATGGTGACCTTGGTTTTCTCTGTTGTGCCTCCTAGTCTTGGTGGCTTGGATGTTGAAAGCCATCAGACAAGGTATAAAGTCTTTCCGAGTCAGAAGAAGTAAAGAGTATCTGACTAGCAGAGAACACATGGGCAAGTGACGTGCTGGCTGCAATTTTGTTGTCTTGTCAAGTACTGTGATGGCATAATTGATGTGACAGGGCTGGGTCTTAGATGGAGTCCCTTAGCTTGTGCTCACTTTCAGTTTTACTTTTCCCGTCATTCGTTTTGACTGTGAAAATTTTAGGTAACAAATAAGCACAACAATGAAGGTTATTTGATGTATGCTTAGTAATGACATATTTTAATAATAAAAACGCTAAGTTAATATTTTGCTGCTTCATGGAAATTGCAATAATTGGTGTCACCTTACATTACAAGATAGAGGGTGGTACACTGATGGCACTATCAGCAGGAGGTTCATTTTATTAATATTATATTTAAATGATTTTCTGGAAATAGGCCAGAAACAGATGCAAGTTGATCTTGCCTTGTCCACTGTTGCTTGGCACCGTCACTTGTTTTTAAAAAGAATTGATTTGACACCTTGTTTTACAGGTTGTTATTGATGCCTTCAGATTGATCAATGCTAATATGATGGTCTTAGGACATGAACCAAGACAAACAACTTCAAATCTGGGTCACTTAAACAAGCCATCTATCCAGGTAATGACTATATTTGATAATGTGTTAAAACTCTGTTTTATAATGTTTAAATATGCTGTCATCATTATAAGATCCAATTCTTAATCATTTTAATTTTCTTATAAGTAGTCTTTTATTATTATTGTTTAAAAGAGATTCCCAGCTTCTTTTGAGGCTACAGGTTTCAACTCAGTCTGTGCAACAGAACAAAACATATATATATAAAGAAAAGATGAACCAGGTGATGGTGGCGTATACCTTTAATCCTAGCACTCAGGAGGCAGAGGCCGGCAGATCTCTGAGTTCGAGGTCAGCCTCTACATTTCTATCTAGTTAGTATCTAAGAGTAGGACTAATAAAAGTTTCAGGTGGGAGCAGTTAGCTAACCTATATTGGTTTCTGAACAGTCTTCAAAACAAAACAAACAAAACCCAAAAAGTAAGAGGAAACCAGGCAGTATCTTTTAGGAGGTCCCAAGAAACAGTTCTTAGGTAGTACTTAAATCTTTCTACCTTTTTTTTTGTTTCATCCCCACCTTTGATTAAAATTTTATAAAAACACATATAAAATTTACTTTTGGTAAGTTTATATTTTGTCATATTGTGATATCCACCACTGTTGCAGTAGTTGGTGGGTGTGCAAGCACTTAATACCCTTTGAGTGATTAGTGTTCTTCTGTTCCATTTACATGCCTCATTGTTTAAATACAAGTCTTTAGTGCTGTAAGAAATTATGGTAAATGTGTTTTTAAATGCACAGTCTGTGTCTGTGTAGGCAATTATTTCTCTAAAGATTAATTAATAGGACAAAAATACCATGTTTGATTACATAGCACACTCAGGACAAAGAGTGTATAGTAGCTACTGCTATTCCCCCTCGAAACCTTGTTTTGCCTTAAGGTTGTCTTTGGGGAGTTGTGGTATTAACAGTTCACCATGGTCCAGCCTTGCTTAGCCTTGGCCACTTTGTGTTTTAAGCACTTTCGCTGTTGTCATTCATTTTAGCTGTTCATTATAGTGCAATATTTTGTCTTTAAGAACTGAGGTATGTTGCTTTTGAAAAAAAGTTTTTAATAAGTTAGGGGAAACTACAGAGAATAATGAGTATGAAATAAGCTACCAGTGATTTTGATTGGGCACAGACAAGCCCATACTTGCATGCTCCAAGAGAATATATTATTGGGTCTGTTTAGCCCATGATAATGACCTTTCTCACACACCCCCTTAGCATCATCCTGCTTCATTATTTCTACAGAAGGTTCAATAGCATCTCACAACCTAGAGTCCTGTGTTCGCTACATGGTGGGTTTCTGCAAGTCACGAGTTACCTGTTGCATATTGCCTTTTTTAAAATTAAAATGCTGCCTTTTAACTTCACAGGCAGAATTGATACTGAAATCTGTTTTTTCTGTACTAATCCCCTTGGTAGTGTGTAGCCCTGCCTTCCACCTGGGATTAAAAATTTGAAACAGTTTTCAAGCTTAAGTTAAAAGGTGGCATTATTTTCCTATCATTTTAAATTTGTCTTGTCTCCCAGTTAGAATCTGCAAATATGTTTATTTCACAGTCTGTGTAGTGCCCATCAGAATGGCATCTATTTGGATGCTTTACAGTTTAGACGATTTCAACACTAAGACACTCCATTGGGATCAAGCCAAAGAGGGGCGCACCTTTAAAAAATAATTTGCTTTTGTAGGACAAGCTAGATGGAAAGTTTATAATAGAATTTAAATGTCTGTATGTCAAATTTTTAGGTTGCTGATAGAAACCTTTCAGAAACACCACACCCTTTATCTTAAGGGAAAGTTAGCTGTGCTAAGAGGGAACTTGTTCCCCAGACAACTTAGAAGTAAGTGGTACAAGCCTGGCAGCAGTCACTAGTGTGTTCTTTAGCACTGGTGTCTCTAATGTACTTAAAGATGTGGGAGAATATTGTGATCACATTGTAAACTGGTTAACAGTTACAGGAAAGTTTAAATGGGATATACATGTGGATATACATGTTCTCCATTTAGTAAGTACATGTTTTAGAACCGGTGTATTTATACAAAGATGTTGGATTTGATTATCTCTAGGTAGTAGAATAATGGGATTTTCCTCCCTTATTTTCTTTATCCATATTTTAAAAACTTTCTACAGTAAAACAATATATTTACAAAATAATATTTTATGAATTTTATGTGTGAGTATTTTGCCTGTATGTCTATTTGTCACCACATATATGCTTGGTGCCCATGGAAATTGGGAGAGGGCATCAGATCCCTTGGAACTAGAGTTCTGTATGGTTGCAAACCACCATATGAGTGCTGGGAATTGAACCCGGTCCTCTGCAAAAGCAACAAGTACTCTTAACCTCAGCCATTGTAAGTGTTCATGGCAATATTGAAGTAAACTTTATTTTGACTTTCAGAGAAGCCTTTGTTCTAAGGGAATACAAAGTGTAATACCTAAAACTGTGCTATTGGCTTCTATATTAATTAATACAGAAAACTATATTATTTTGTTTAGAAGTGGCAGTATTTATTTTAATGATTTTTTTTAAGGATTCCATTAAAAACTTGGGCTTTTTTGGTATTTTAGTGATGGATCACACTAAATTTTGGAGTTGTCATCCTTTTGAACATTAACAAACATTGGTTCCCCAATGCATGCACTGGGCTTTGAGTCTCTAACTGTAGCCCTGAGTGCGCCTACATTGTGCAATAGAAAGTATTTTCACTACTTATAATTATTGAGAATAGTTACTAAAACACAGAGTTGTAAACAACAGCAGTGAAACTGTTATAATGGCCCTGAAACATTTTCTGGATGAGCAGCTGAGGCCCAGAGAACTGAGCTGCTTGAGTTACTGTTAATTTGCAAGGACTGCTAGATCATTTCATTCTTTTATATTATAGTTGAGAATTTAATTAAATAAATTTTTGGCCTATTTTATATGTTGCCTGTGTGATGCTTTGTTTTGTTTTGAGACAGTCTTACTCACTGTGTGTCCAGGCTGACCTGGCTCTGTGTACCCCAGGGTAGCCTCAAATCCAGAATTCTGCTTTAATCGCCTGGGAGCTGGGATTACAAGTATGTACTGTAATGTCCAGCAAGCTGATTTATAAAACACTTGCTGTGTTTACCATAAGTACACGGATCTACTGGTTCTCAAATAGTGGGTCGCCATTTTTTGAGCATCAAACGGCCCCTTCATAGCTGTCACCTAAGACTATCCGAAAACACAGATGTTAACATTACGATTCATAACAGTAGCAAAATTACAGTTAGGAAGTAACACAGAAAATAATTTTATGGTTGGAGGGGGTCACTGCAACATGAGGGACAGGATTAAAGGATTAAAGGCCCAGCATTAGGGAGGTTGAGAACCACCGGTCTTATAGTCCTACTGCATGAGGTTATACTCTGGAATGAATATCCTGGGGATGTGCATGCAGTGGGTGAGAAAGTGAAGTTGGAAGACTGTTGGCTATCTTTGTTTGATCGTGTACTTGCTAATCTGTCACTGTGTTTGTGTTTTACTACATTTGTCTGCATAATAAAATTGAAAACCAAATAGTGCCAGAAAGAGAGAGAGCCCTATGTGGGCTGGCAGTTTTCTCTAGGTACCAAAAGGTCACTCCCTAACCTGGTCCAACCTCTTAAAGGTCATTGGCTGATATCAGTGGTCCCCCCCTTTTTTTTGGTCAGTAAATCTTCAAATTAAGATTGTTCTTAAAAATATGTAGACTTAATCTTACCAGGGATTGCATTGTAGCACAGTACATCAGAACAGACTTAGATTGTAGTCAGTTATCTGGCTTCGAATCCTCAGTGCTACCTTTTATTAGCTAGTAATTAGGATAAATTAAGAGTTAGTGTCATGTCCACGGGATGAACCTACTGGATTCTTGCGTTAGAATGTGTGGGATGCACAGCACATGCTAGGCGGTCATTAGATACTCTTCTACTTCTACTTCCCTACTCTTCTACTCCGGCTTAGGACGCTTAAGACTTAGACTGCACAAACCCTGATTAGAACGTGGTGGTTATTGGTTAGCTCTGTCTTTATTTCCAGGCAGTTAACCCAAGTCCTTTTTAGTTTTTACAATTGTTGAAAAATTATAAATTATAATTCTAATCCTTTTGTCTTCGTAGGCTAATTTTTTTCGTAGGTTTCTCGAATACTGTTAGGAACCACAGTTGAACTTCATGTTGCTAGAGAGATACTTAGGCAGTATATAACATCATTATTTTTCAGTTTTTTCATTGAAAATAATTTCTTTCTCCTACACTATATTCTAATCACTGTTTCTCTTTTTCCATCTGCTTCCAGATCTCCCTACTTCCTCTCCCAACTCCAAGTCCTCTCTAGAAAACAGACAGAAAATAAGTAAAATAACAACAACAGAAAATTAGAAAAGAAAATGCATAAGAACCACACATTCAGACAAACAAAACACATTGGAAACCATGATGTACAAGTAAAAGACATAAGATTTTAAAGAAAAATTTTCCAAACAAAGCAATTTGAGACCAAAAGAATCTACAAAATGCCATCAAGTTCATTGTGTGTTTGTTATTTACTGCTGGGCATGGAGCCTGCGTAATTTATGTGTGATTTGTATGCCCAGTGAGCCTTCATTGGAGAAAACTAATTTTTCATTTGTAAGTGGTTGTCAGCTGGAGTAGCTTCTGGGTTAGGTCGGGAGCCTGTGCACACTTCCTTCTGTCAGTGCTGGGACCCTGTCTGTCTGGGATCTGTCCGGGTCTTGTGTGTGCTGCCGCAGTCTGAGACACACGCAGTGTGTGTGCCAGTCCTGTTGTGTCTGGAAGACTTCACTTCCTTGGTGTCATCCATCCCTCTAGCTTTTACAAACCTTCTGCCTTCCCACATACATTGCTTCCTGAGCACCGAGGAGATATTTGGGATTGAGTGTTCCAAAGTTTGTCACTCTGCTCCTTGTCCATTTGTCCAGTTGTGAGTATTAGTTCCTTCTTTGATGATAGCTGAGATACTGACCTTTGGATATAGTAGAGCATTCTTAGGAATGATTTTGTTGTGCATTCAGAACAATAGTATTTGGTTCCCCCCTATAGTTACCTTTTTTAAAAAAAAAAGCTTAAGTTTTTGTTGTGATTGGCCTGTTTATCTTGGAGATAGAATACAATGAAATAAATTCTGATTAATGAGATTTTGATTTCTTGTCATTGAATTTAGAGCATGAGTGAGGTGGACATGGTAAAGAACAAGCTTCTGGGTTGTAACAGGTGGCTCAGTTGGTGGGTGTGTGCTGCTGACACTTGACAGATATGAGATGTCAAGAAAAAGCCAGGCAACCCCAGCACTGAGTTAGGGTGAGCAGATCCCAGAAGCCCATTCACCAGCCAGCAGAGCATAATCTATAAGCTCCAAATTCAGTGAATAGACCTTGTCTTAGAAACTGAGGTGGAGAGCAATCAAAGAAGACTCCTGCAGTTGACCTTAGGTCTCTCCATGCGGGACACAAAATTCCATGAGCACACATTTGAATTAGCACACACATACCTACCTAGCTTCCTCATTGATAGTTTAAAGACTTGCCTGGACATAAATCTTTGAATTAGTGAAGCTTGAACCAAAACAGAAACCCCAGATTAATGTGGATGCAGAGACATGTGGACTATTACAGGATTTTAGACTTTCCTTCTGAAATAGCAAACTCCCTCCCAAACACCATAAAAATCAGACAATAAAATATGGATAGTTGGTTTGTAACTGCTTATGATTTGAGACTTTTTTCAAGGCTGTGGAAAGTTTGAATTTGTGAAGTACCTAAACTGCTTTGAAGAATTAACCAATTAAATTCCCAATCCTTTAAACTTGTAGCTGAGAAAAATAATTTGTATTTATAATAAGATCCCTTTCAATTTTATTTAAAAAATTTATTACATTTTACATATTTTGTGTTGTGGGGAGGGGACTTGTAGGTGTTGATTCTCTCCTTCTACCCTGTGGGTCCTAGAGATGGAACTTAGACTGACAGGCTTGGTCACAAGGGCTTTTACTATGGTGGACACTCAGACCCTTATCCCAGATTTCTGAGGCAGAGTCAGGCAGATCTCTGAGTTCAAAGTCAGCCTGGGTGTACGTAGTGAGTTTCAGGCCAGACAGAGGTACATTATCTTAAAATAAATAAAGATGAGGTGGGTGTGTCATGCTTAAGATATGTCAACAGTTTCAAACATTTGTATTAGATTAGGTGAAAGATTAATTTATCATTTAAAATTGTTTTTATAGGCATTAATTCATGGATTAAACAGACATTATTACTCCATCACTATTAATTATCGAAAAAATGAACTGGAACAGAAGGTAAGTCAATGAAAACTCTTTTTCTTTTTAAAGAAAATTAGTTTTTATAATTATGTTCATGAGATTTGCCTGCATGTATATCTGTGCGCCACTTGCATACCTGGTGCCCTCAGAGGCCAGAAGAGATTGTTGGATCCCCTGGAACTGGAGTCTCCTGTGGTTGTGAGCCTCCAGATGTGTGTGCTGGGAACTGAACTTGAGTCCTCTGCAAGAGTAGCATATACTCTTAGCTGCAGAACCATCTCTCCAAACCCTTACATTTATATTATTAATTCTTTAGTTCATCTGCTCTCTCAGAACAAAAGCCCTTATCCAGCTAACCTGGATAATCAACCGCAAGTCTTTTCTGAGCATTCCTGAGGAATCCTGTCGAGGCATGGTAGGGTTGTCTTGGCTCTTGTCGTGACTATGGGTCAGTGTAGAGCATGGGTGATTGCAACCATTGGTACAAAGCCGGGACATAGAGAAGATGGAAATAAGCAAAGAAATAGGAATTGCTTGGGCGTGATATTCCCTGGTTGGTTTTGTTTTCTTGTTTGTTTTGTTCTTTTTTTCTTTTTCTGATTAACATGTGTTGTTCTTGCCCCGATGACCAGAGTAGTTCCTGGCACCCATGTGGTTTTCACATGTATGGTGTGGCACGTGTGCTCACTCCCAAAAATAATCGTTGTAAAAGAAAACCGTCAATTTGTAAGGCAGGTGAGGGGTCGTAGCCTTTGGGGAGCCTGTGAGTCTGAAGCCACCCTGGGCTCCAGAATGCAGTCCGCCCGCCCCTTGCCCCAGAGTCTGCACGTGCACACAAATGCATTTTTGATGAAGTCTTTGAACTTGCGTCCAGTTTGGGGATCTAAGTTTTTCAGATTCTCAGCTGGTATCCTAATCCCAGTTTATTGATGTGTTTGAAAAGTAAACATATCTGTGATGGTTTTCCTGGTTTTATTTTTCAGTCCTGTCAACAAGTAAATATTAAGTTTTCATAACAAACCCGTGTGTAATTTAAGAGTCTAGCTAGACCCTGAGGATATTAAATGTTAACTGAATAAAGAAGAAAATGTTCATAGACACTATAAAATTAACATAGTAAGACAAGGGAAGAAAGACCTTTGTTCCAACAATGTGAGACGGTTTTTTTTAGGTAGTGTAGTTAGGAAGGGCATCTGTCTCTGCTAAGCAAAGGACAAGTGAATGTAAATATTTGAGATGGAGTAACCGTGGTCAGTACAGAGGCAAAGGGCGTGGATTTGGAGCACCTGGGTATAGTGGTGTAAATTTAGGATATTTCCAATTGGTGCTTATTTGATTGGATAAAATTAAGTTTAAATTCATTAATTTTTGTGAAGTCTTTTTGTTCTCAAGACAGGGAAAGGAAATGTTTTTAAGGCAACAAAATAATTTCCTTTTCTTTTTTGTTTAGATGCTGTTAAATTTGCATAAGAAGAGTTGGATGGAAGGATTGACACTTGAGGACTACAGCGAACATTGTAAACACAATGAATCAGTGGTAAAAGAGATGTTGGAATTAGCCAAGAATTACAATAAGGTAAAAATCATTTGTTTTCTTCGTAACTGTTAAAATGTGTATAGTTAGGTACCAAGTGGTTTTATAAAATAAATAATGAAAAATAGACGTATTTTGTAGGTTAGAAAATAAACACTTGATGTATAGGCAATCTAGACTCTTCCCCAAACCTTGTACCGTTTTGCAAATGTAGCCATAGAAAATATGTGAACAAAGGCACCTGGGTTTTTTTTTTTTTTTCAGATGGGCAGCTGGGGGCTAGAGAGACGTCTTAGTAGTCAAGAGCATCTTGTTGCGCTCAGCTCAGTTCCCAGCACCCATGTTAGGCAGCTGACTACTGCCTATAACACCAGCTCCAGAGGATTTGACACATGGCATACACATGTAAATACTTATAAATAAAATATAAGCCAGGCATGGTAGCGTACACCTTTAATCCCAGCATTCTGGAAGCACAGGTTGGCAGATCTCTGAATTTGCGGCCAGCCTGCCTCATCTACCAGGTGAGTTCCATGACAGCCAGGGCTACACAGAGAAACCCTGTCTCCAAAAATTTAAATAATATTTTTTTTTGCTATATCTAATTTATTTTGTGACCTTTTACATTTTTCACTTAATCAGTATTTACTGAAAACTTACTATGTGCCAGGCACTGGGGCATGCTTTAAAAAAAAAAAAAAAAAAGATAAGACATTAAAAATCCCTGTTGCCCAGAGAGCTTACTTTCTATAAGAGAACATAAACAAGGACAGCGTAGTATATCATAGTTAGTGTTATGGAAAGAGAGCAGTGACTAGGGTCTGACTTTATGTGGGCCATTAAAAATCATGTGAAAAGATCATTATGCACACTCCCCTGAAAATATTTATATGTAGGTTTTGGGTTGGGGAGATGGTGCAGTCTGTAAAGGCCTGAGTTGCATTCCCAGCCCATGCAGAGAAGCTTGGTGTGGGGACAGCGCAGCCTAGGTTGCTGCACAGGGGACAGTGCTGTGTAGGTAGAGGCAGGTTTGCTGACCAGTATTCAAAATTGCCAAGGCACAGTCTCCCAGTGTCCAGCAACAAATGAATGTGCAGTTCTCTCTCTCGCTCCCGCTCTCTCTCTCCTTGTCTGTGTGTGTTCACAATATAATGCTGATAAGTCTTTAAGAAGAAAGAAGTCCTGTCATTGCAACACAATAAACCTGGAAGACATGGCAAAGTGGAACAAACTAGACACATAAAGACAATTCCTAACAAGTATGTGGAGCCTAAAAAGCCCAAACTCAGGAGTAGGCAGGATGAAATCAGCTTTCAGAGTCTTGAAGCTGGTGAGAGGAGAGTTTGGGAAAAAGAAGAGGTGTGGGATAGACTGAGAAAACGGTACGTGTGCCTGGCGTGAGTGAGGTGGAATAGGAGGCAGTTAAAGAGTTTGTTTTGATCAGAGGCACAGCATACCCAGAGCCTGACTTTAGGAGTTACACTAAATGGCTATGTTGTTGTAGTGGCAGTGGGGATGGAGGCCTCACTGGTTGAATTCTGTGAAAAGACGAATTTAACATTTCCTGCCTACGTGACTAGTAGTGTGTTGGTAGCAGTAGCCTTTTCAGTGTAGATAGAAAGGAATGAAGAAAGGTATTTTTCAAAAACTGGACATTCTGTTTTGGTTGATTCTCCCCATTCTGTCCCCATTCCTTCTCCACTTTGATGTCACAATGTGTTCTATTGCTTCTCCCTGCCCCACTTCCTGTTGTTTCCCCTCTCACTGCTTCCTTTCTAGTTCTGTGACCTTTACCAAGATACACACATAAATATCCAAAGTTACATTTCTTCAACAGTTCAGAATGTGGGATTGAAAATTAATAATGCTGGGCAGTGGTGGCCACGCCTTCAGTCCTAGCACTCAGGAAGCAGAGGCAGGTGGATCTCTGAGTTTGAGGCCAGCCTGATCTATATAATGAGTTCCAGGCAGGACAGCCAGGGCTGCACAGAAAAACAAAATATCAAAAAAAAAAAAAAAAAAAAAAAAAAAAAACAATAAAAAGTAAAGGCTGAAATTCAAGATTTGGGAGTTGTAGTTAAGACTGATTATTGTAACCCGGTCAGTGGTGGTGTACACCTTTAATCGCAGCACTTGGGAGGCACAGAGGCAGGGGATCTCTCTCTCTGAGTTCCAGGACAGCTAAGGCTACACAGAGAAACCCTGTCTCAAAAAGCCAGAACAAAACAAAAGACTGGTTATTGTTATACCAGAAAGTAAAACTTTGTTTTTAAATACTATAGTATATATAAAAAAATTACAAGAAACAGAATATAAGATTCAACAAATGTAATAGCAGGTCATTGAAAGAACTAAGGTTTGCCATAAAGCCAGTGGGGTCTTCAAAACTACATTCCAGCAGTTAGGTTAGATTTGGACAAGTGTATCCTAGAGCATAATTTCAGCTGGAAACCCCTGGTAAGCGGGTTCTTTTCTAGTGGTGCTTTCATATTGTGGGGATGATGAAGACAGAAAATAGTAGTTTATCATTTAAAGTAGTTAACCTTTTATTGTAAAAAGGAAGAACAAGTGTTATTCAGCAGACTGTAGGAATGATTTTTATTTCTCTGTAACATTACATTTAAGTAAATTCATATTTCCTTCTGCCAGGAATAACCTATTTATGGTTACTGCTGCCCATCCATAGAAGTTTTTTTTCCTATATTACAGTTTTAAAAATCTCTGTAGCACTAAAAATCTTGTAAGGTTTAGTTAAAAAATGAAAACAGTGTGTAAGCTGTGATATGAAGAGTCCAAATTTGGGAATGTAATTCCCTCTGTGATTGAAAGAAAACGGTGAAGTTTTTATAGTAACACTTAAAATACACAAGGAAGGCCCATACTACCAGTTTTTCATGGCATTCTTTTTAATTGGCTGGGTTTTAAAAACTAAGGTAATTATTGTTAGATGCCAGTCAGGTCCTAAAGTAAAATGAGTTTGGAGATAATTAAATTCTTTTGGTCTGAATTCCATACAGGAGTTCTGCTTGATTATTATTGTAATAATTCACAGTTGTTCTAATGACTAGGCTGTAACTCCCGCGGCACTGTGTTCCAAACCCTCATCTATGGAGACTGAAGTGCTGCTGCTGGATGTTACAACTCTAATGTCTCACTACACATTTGTACATGAGTGTATAGGTCAGAAGATGGATTACAAAAGATCATAGAAGCCAGGCATGGTGGTATACACCTTTAATCACAGCAGTCTGGAAGAAGAGGCAGGTGGCGTCTGTGAGTTCAAGGTCAACCTGGTCTACTGAGAGAGTTCCAGGACAGCCAGAGCTATTACACAAAGAAACCCTGTCTCAAGGAAAACAAACAAACCCCCACAGAAACAAAAATCTTGCCTGATAGCTTACTTTTTAGATAAATGAGATAATTTTATATTAATTCATATAAACTAAGTATAATTATTAGGTAGAAAATTTTTGTGCTCATGTACTTAGATAAGAAAAACAAGTTGTAAATATTGAGGAAAATGGGTCAAATCATCATTATTCGAATGTAATGTGATAGATTATTTACAATGAAACAGAAATCCAAGAGAATAAGGAGATAACTTTCAGAACTGTTATGTCAGGAATGTTAGAGGTGGTTAGAATGCTTTTTAAAACAAATGATCAAAATAATTAGAAAAAAATGGTATTTAGCATGAAAAGGTTTCTACCTTATTAAAGAAAAAAACCAAACAAGTGGACAAAACTTTCAATATTAAAAGCTTATGAAATGTGCTGCCAGTGGGAGTATTCTGTAATATTTTACAGGTTGTATTTATTTTATGTGTATGAATATGTGTGTATGTGTGTATGCATGTTTACCACATGCTTGTCTGTACCCAGGGAGGCCAGAAGAGGACATTTGATCTTCTGGAACTAGAGTTACAGAAGGTTGTGAACTGCCATATGGGTGCTAGGAACTGAATGAATTCTCTAGAAGAATACTAAGGGCGTTTAACAGCTGAGCCATCTTTCCAGTCCCTTAAAAGTGATATTTATTTTAAATATATGTCATAAGTCAACATTGTTTTAGTAACATTGTCATCTTTAAGATAGGAGATAGAAAATTCTATACTTATGCAACACCTGACTTTCTGTTTTTTAAATTTCTAATGTCATGTTAACTCAAAATAGCAATTGCTTTAATATAATTAAAGTTCTCTCTTACACTTTAAGGCCAGTTTGAAACTTCAGAGTCAGATTCTGATTCCTTCTGTTTTTCTGTTCTTCTTTTACTATGGACATCCATCTCTTAATCACAAGGTTCAGTGCCGCTGCTAAGCCTAGGTTTACACCTGGAGGAAAGGAAAACCAAAGGGATGAATTCTTTTTCAGGAGCCTTTGTGTATCTCTTATTGGCGGAACAGGGCCCAGTGAGCACCCCTGGCAGCAAGGGAGTTTATATAATGTAGTCTTGTAGCTGAGAACATTGATTCCTGTAGGAAAATCAGACAAAATAAAAAGAAAGGAAGATGGATATTGGCAACTAGCAGATACTACTAGAAACTTCTCTTCCTCCCTTTCTCCTCTTTTGACAGAATCTCTCACAGAACCCTGACTGGGACTTAATATTTATACCAAGCTGACCTCAAACTCTCAGATCCCCCTGCCCCTTCCTTCTCAGTACTGAGATCAGAGGTGTGCGCCAATATGCTAGCTTACCAAAACCCCTTTTGTTTTTCAAAAGACTGGGTTATAAATTGCTGTTATATATGCAAATGTTTACATACTCATGGGATCTTTATTTTATATCCCCTATTTGATTTTATTATGCTTTAAAATTGGATTTCCTGTTAAGATTTTTGCAAAGGACCTGTGTGAGGTTGTCTGGCAAATCATGTATTTGGCTTTATTACTATTCATGATACACCATCGAAAGAAATGAGGTTTCCTCCTTACAAATGTTACTGTGAGTCTGGGCAGTGGTGGCGCACACCTTTAATCCCAGCGCTCAGAGGCAGAGACAGGTGGATCTATGAACTTGAGGCCAGCCTTGTCATAGTGAGTTTCAGGACAGCCAGAGCTACATGGTGAGACCCTGTCTCAAGAAATACATACATATATACATAGACACATTTATACATGCATACATATGCTGCAATTTAGTGGTGGTAGTCATCAAAAGTTTTGTTGTCCTTTATATTCATGTTTCTTCTATCTTAGAAAGTTTACATGTTGCTTCATGTTTGTTCACTTTGCTTTCCAAAATATATCTTGTAAAAGCCTTTTATTTAGACTTTCTGCCTCTCTAATCAATATTAGTTTTATTCATATTCACTATGAGATATAAAATTTAAAGTTACAAAAGAAATAAACACTTAGCAGTTAGAGATTGTTTACTGGTAAAAACATAATATATGCCATTCTAGCTTTTTTGTCCTTTGTTACATGAAAAATAAATTGCTCTATTGATGCTGTTTAAGAGCGTGTACTTCAATGAAATGTTAACATGCTGTAGAATGAAGAAAGAATGCCAGTAAAGAAAAAAGGGGCTTTTCAGAGGTATATGTGGAAAAAGACATGTTAAAAAGCAGTGGTTAAGGGACAAGAGAGAAACTGGTGTTGGATAATTTATTGTACAGGTGTTCAGGAAAGTGGAGTTGCTCTGTGGCTGTCTGTCAGGAATGCTAGTGACATGCCAAGGGTCTAGTCTCTATTAAAAGATAAATAATGATGAAATTTGAGATATTGTTCATTTGAAAATTTTGATCATTAGTAGGAAAAAAAGAATGGTGTTAATGGTTTTAGTAAAAGTCTCTTTAAGATAGAGGGTACATTTGAGGGGATTATGATCACATAGCAGACCAAATTCCAAGAATTTCTTAGAACTGTGCAGACCGTGCATGATGGGATAGCCATCTGGGGGTCTTTGTTGATAAACTGTTAAAAACGTTTCTAGTGTGAATAGCCACAAACATTTTCAGTGCTTTTTTGTTGGTTGAGTAAACCGAAGAGCACGAATGCAAAAGCAAATTTTGAAGCCAAATCACAGAAGTTGCCATAAACACAGAAGTTCCCTAGTGAGGACACTGCCTGTGCCTGAATTTCATTTGTTTCTGCTGCTACCATTTCTTAATTTTTCCTGGGGACTAGCCAGATTAGAACTGTGAGTGAAGACAGACTGGGCTTGCCCAGATGGTAGATAGATCTAGGTAACTTAGGTAGGGAGACAATACTGAGGGCTTGGATGGCGTGAGAAGGGATGTACGTACATCTCCTGTCGTGGGGGTTTGCAACCTTAGTGTATGCCTGAATCTGCAGCTGCTCCTCCTCTCCCAGATGGCGCCCATGGCTGGGAGTACTTTTTACCATCTGCACTGCTCAAAGAGTTTGTGAACTCTCTTCAATTATTGGGGATGGAAAAACTAATTGCTAAAGTGGTTAAATGTTGTACAAGATTTTAAAATTTTATTGGTGCTTTTTATATCATATTTTTCCTTTCAAATATTAAAAGGCTTAAGTGCTTTTGACTTTCATCTTTGTATATTTGCCATCTTTGATACTTACATTAATCCAAAGTATTCTCTAATGATTATTTATATGTGAATTGGTATTTTGAGCCAAATTCCAAAACTCTTGCCTCCTTCCAGTACTGCCGTGAGTACTGTTGTTGCCATGTGTGTGGAACAGCTCACGCTGAATGGGTACGGAGTACACACTCAGGAGAATTGAGCCATTCATCTAACACGTTTTCAAGGCAGCAAAGTACATTGTCACAATTTTGAAAGTAATTTAGAAAGATAAACTATATTGCCTTTCAGTCAATTTTTGTGAAACATTGAAAAGTAGGGAAAGCAATTCCTAGTTAGAAATACTTTCATAACTAGCAGGGACTAACAGAGTGACATCTGACTTGGAAAATGAACATATTCTCTGTCTGGGGAATTCTAGTTGGAGTGTTTGTGCCTTGAATTTTTTCCTGCTTTCAGGTTTGAATGTAATTCCTAATACGTTATAAATAAGCACCCTCTAGTCACCAGCAGACACAAGAGATAGTCACCATCTTTTCTCTTTAGGCAGGTTCTACTGGTGAAAATTCTCTAGATAGTTTGTCCATTTATAAAATTAGACACTTGCCATCTTTGCTCATTTTCAAGTTCTCTGTTTACAAAACTATTAAGAAGGTGTGAAATACAGCCAAACTTCCCAGTTTATGGGGAATGTCTGATGATTGCATTTCCTACATGTTCATTGTTCACACATGAAGAAATTTGGCAGCTGTGAGATTATTAAGTTTAGAGTGTCCAAATCTAACCCTCACTGGGATTTGGGTTTCCTGCTTTCTGACACCACTATTTTACCCCTTTTCTACTGTCTGTGGTAAATGCTGTGGTAGCATTATGGAGGTTGGTGATCTTTAAGTCTCTTCATCTTCTCTTTATCGGATGCCATGAATAAATTATAGACCACGAGTTCAGCAGATACAGGCTCTATCTTTAGGCCTAATATACCCACTATCCAAATGCAGACTTGGTCAGGTTGAAACTCTCTGTGAGAGGCTCATGGGATGGTTTCGAAAGAGCAAGGCTGCAGTTCTAGTCTAGATGTTCTAATTAGTGTGAGGGATTTTTACTAGAAAGCTTATTGTAACTCACAAAGAATTTGTAGTTAACTCTGAAGTAGTAGATGGTTTTCATGTGCTGTTAATCAGATTTTTAATTTCCGGAATTAATTTGATGCTAAAAACTTGAAATTATTTCTTTATGCTTACTTCATGTGGAATTGTGAGTTTTTTCTTAATGTGTATTGTAGAAATTTAAAGATGTGTAGTGATCAACTTACGATGGCATATTGTTAGATCAAAACTCAGCAGATCTTTTCCTCCTTACTGATACCAAATAGATACACACAGGCTAGACGGGCAAAAGAAATGAAGGAGAAATGGGAGCTTGAAGGGGGAAGTTAGGGGAAGAGGGCAGAAAAAGAAGAATTTAGTAGCAAAGACACTACCCCATACTCCCAGCTCCCTATCTCTCTGGTGCCATTCAGTGATCCAGTGTGATATTTTCTGGTATTGTTTATATATTTCTTAAGTGTTTTTAAATGTTGGTAGTAATAGTGTTCATTACTCCGAAGATTGTTTTGGATTAACAAAATTGCTTTTTTCAACAAATTGTTTTAATAAAAGATGCTTTGAATGGGAATTATGATCCCCTTTGCTTTGGTGGCTATTCATCAGTGGGAAAATAAATACAGAATTCAGAACTCTCCTTTGTGTTCACTCACAGGCTGTAGAAGAAGAAGATAAGATGACACCTGAACAGCTGGCAATAAAGAATGTTGGCAAGCAGGTGAGGAGACTGTAATAGGTTATACAGTCACGTGCTAACATGCTCTTGTAGCGTTAAGACTATTTTAGGGACTATCATTTTTTTCTTGTCTATTTATACTACATCTTTCTTCTGTCATTTAAACATAGTAAAATTTTAAAGGCCACTATATTTATTAGATATCAGATTCTCTTTGTTATCTGTAGAGAATAAATGATAACTCTCTACCTGTGACACACTGTCTATCCTTAGTGAAAATAGTATATTAAAAATAAATTAAATGACACTTGATTCCTGAGTTAAGTTTACTGTAGATGAGGTTGGTAGGTTTATTTAACTAATAACGATTTTGTTAATGATACATTTATTAGTAGGTAGGTAGTATTGCTATAGATTTACTTCGTATGTAACAATTTTTAAAGATACATTTTACTGTATAGCTGACACCCTGAGAAAGTTTAGAATTCTATTGACTACTTGGTGAGAAAGGGTTTAAATAGTGATTCTTTTGCCCTTCTAAGATGAAATATATATTTAAACCTGGTTATCAGAGGATGGGGGAACATACCCAGCAATTAAAAGAATCTACAGATTAATTAGACTGTTTTTCTAAATAATGTTGATTACATTTTTCCCCATTTCATGGAACATGGTTATCATATTGCTGATGTTGGCAGAATCTTGATATTTCAGATGCAAGACACTAAGCTGTCTTTGCTTTCAGCCATCCTACCATATGCTCTGATCCCATCACATCTCACAAGCTATGTAGGTTTGGGCCAGGACCATTCTTGGATGGGAAATCTCTAAGAATCACCCAGCTGCCACAAGTAATGTAGATAACTGATAAATGAGTTACCGATTCACTGTAAAACCAATTAGTCCAGCAGAGTAGTAGGGGCAGAGGTCTGACTTTATCATAAATTATAAATTTGTGATATGTACAAATATGAGTGCATTCTAATTATTACAGTTTAAAAATGAGTACCCTCAAATCAGAATAAAATGAAGTTCATCTTATTTTCCAGTCTGTGTGGTATCAGCCTTGTTTTCATTTTCTTCTGCTTATTTTCTTCTAATATATGTTAGATTACCAGTTTGGAACATTACCCTCTCTAGAACTCACTAAATAAATTACTTTCTGAGGCCGTGGTTTCTTGTGTATTTTCTTTAATGGCCCACAGGAAAATGAAAGGACTAAATTAAAATTAAAACTGGAGAATGTATAATTGATGTTTAGAAATCATCAGGGTCACTAGGTGTTGGTGGTTCATGCCTGGTGGTGCATGCCTAGTGGCAGAGGCAGGCAGAGCTCTGAGTTTGTGGCTAGTGTGGTCTTTAGAGAGAGTTCCAAGACATCCAGGGCTAAGCAGAGAAACTCTGTCTCAAAAACAAAAAAAAAAAAAAAAAAGAGCAAAAAAAAATCATCAAAAAAAAAATTTTTTTTTTCTTGTTTTTTTTTTTTTTTTTTTTAAGGCACAGTCTCACTGTGTAGCCCTGGCTGTCCTGGAACTTGCTATGTAGATCAGGCTGGCATCAAGAGTCTCAGAAATCCTCCTGCCTCCACTTCCCCAAGTGTGGGATTAAGGCCTGAGCAAGGTGCCCATGTTTTACATACATGTGTTAACTAGGTCACTGGCCTGCTTTCCTCCTGCTGGTCTTTGTAGGACCTTCATCTGGAATGTGTTCAGGGCCAGCCCTAATAGTACCGTAGTCTAATCATTGAATCCCTTGTAGCGTGTGTTCTTTCAATTGTAAGAAGTTGGTGTGTTGAAATTATGAACAAGAAAAGCAGAGCTAAGAGTTATACGAGCCAGTGAAGAAGACTTGTATAAAGTTATAAATCTTAGGTATTTTAAAACACATATAAGAGATTAATGCTTTAAGATCATTTCTTATTGCTAGTAATATTTATTTTAAGCTTTCAAATTTAGCTGAAATAACTTGTTTGTCCTTAAACATAGTAAACATTTAATTTTTTTTGTTTTATTATAGTGCAGTTTTAAGTTTCATTTTTAACCTTATTTTAAAATGGATCTGATCAGGTTTCAGTCATGCCTGTTTAAGTTCCAGTGATACAATTTTTCAGAATAGCTGGATGAAGCATTCTTAATATTTTAGAATAAATCCAAATTATATTTAAAAATTTCAATTACATTGGCTTTTGATCCAAGAATATTTCTGAATAATTCTCTTGAAATATTAAGATTTACAGAATTCATTTTTTACAATTTATATTATTCACATTACCTGCTTACCTACACCTTAAATAAACCTTCATCAGACATTAAAATATGTTAATGACAGAATGTACTCATGCATATACAAATGCATAAATGCACCTTTTAAAAAACAGGTGAGTTTTACCTGTTACCCTTTATGAAAATCTGTGGAACTTATCTGTAACTAACATTGATTGCATAAATCCGTCTTTCATTGGGTAATTCTTTTAGTTTCCGTTTAACAAATTTAAAAGCCTCAATGAAGAATGTAACAATGTGTTGGAAAAGCTGAGTGGTAAAATATGTGTAAATTTAGGCTTCATTACTAATTTAATCTGCTCTTGGGGGAAAAATTAGTTTACCAGTAACACAGCTATCTTTCTTCTTTTACTTTTTTCCTTTTAGGATCCCAAACGTCATTTGGAAGAACATGTGGATGTGCTTATGACTTCAAACATTGTCCAGTGTTTGGCAGCAATGTTGGATACTGTTGTATTTAAATAAAGCAGCCTAGAGAGCTGTCAGTGCCACTCTGTGTACTTCCTTCATTGTCCTCCTGCTCACAGTGGAGCTCTGCGGGTGATGTGGTGGCATGGCCGTCACCTGTGCCGCTTCCATCGCAGTTGTGCAGTTGCTTCTGGTTACTTAGTCAGGTTCTGCAGATTCCAATGTTGTTCAGGAATACATCAAAGTGGACAAATTTTGTTAAGACCCCATTTACTATTTGAAAAAATCAGTAGCACAAATATATTTTGATTGTTGCTTACAAAATAAAATACATTTACAATCCATGTCTCCCGAGGTCTTTCTGGCACTGGGCGGAACTGACAGAATAACATTTGACAGTACTTGGGAAATCTCACACAAAGCTATGTCTTATAACACATGAAGCATCACTGTGATAACAAAACTTCACAAATTAGTGATCGCCATTAGCGAGTGGCTTCCTCATTAGTGAGTAACCCAGATAAATATTGTTTTTTTTTTAAAAACCTTTCTCTCAAGCCAGCATTATGTATTCATATCTTAACATATTATACTTTCAGGATTTCAGAAAAGTTCATTTAAAAAGTGGGCAATTTTAAACTCACAATTTGAAGAGTATATTCTACAAACAATTTTGAAACTGTCTAGAAGTTGACTGCTGGGAACACCAGTAGATTTTCATGTAGCCCAGGCATAGAAAGTAAAAAAATAAATAAATAAATGCTGGTGTGAATTGAATGCCACGAGTGTATAAACAATAGTTGTTTCCTGAATTAACGTCGAAGTACTCAGTGTTAGGTATAACAGTATGGCTTATTGGCAGTTCTCATAGCTTCTCACATAAAGAAAACACATAGTCATACCCCCTTATATAACAAATACTTACTGAAAAGCAATTTACTGAATACCCCCAGTAGTAGCTAACAGTGTGGAGACAGATTTAATTCGAGGTTGTACCCTTGTGAAAATATGGTGAAAAGTTTTTCTAACTCTTTGTGAAAGGAGGGTTGTACTGGTTAACTTAGACTTCACCTACTAGGGGTGTCATGCCTGTCATGCATAGTGTTCCCAAATACCAGGTAGTTCAACAGTTGTGATTAAGCTCTTACCGTCTGATGACTGTCAGAAACCGAAGGTAGAATTGTCTTAAGTTTCCAGGATCTTTCAGTCAGTCTGAAGATATGAGAACAAGAGAATGATATTGTTCTGGTTATTTCTTGTCTTATAGTTTCTTTTAGTTAGATACAGTATTTTGTTAACTGCAACATTAAGTTATTGGCATTGCATCTAATTATTTAAAATTAAAATAAATGGGTAGGATTTTCTCTTGACTAATCCACACTTAAGGGCATGATTTTTTTAGATACAGAGTTTTCACTATAATTAGGTTCAATGACAATTTTCACAGATATTGGAGAACTAGGGTGTGTGTCTGTGTGTGTGTTAAATAGAGTGGCCTTGGGGAAAAAGCTTCAGTATTTCTAGGGCTGGACTCTGCATTCAGGTTGAGTTTCCTGAGAATACCCTGAATTACTAAATGTTGTGACTAGGAAGGCTTACATTGCCCTCTCTGCCTTGCTTTTATTTGACCTTGTGGACTTCCTTGGTTTCAAATAGCCACAGACCACTTCTTCCTGCCTGCTTTATGTTGGAAACACTATCAGTTTCAGTACCTTGGCACAATCTTTTAATTTGGTAATCATGTCTTTTTAAACATATTTTTAAGTTGATCAAAATCAGGTCGTCCTAATTAGCAAATAACTTTGTCTAGCAATATATAACCATTTTACCAGCAGCCTGATACCCTAGGCACATTAGGCATTAAACCAACTTGTTAAACACGAGCTAGATACACCCTACCCCCAACAGAGGTGATGAGGAGCTAAAGATGGTCTGGTAACAAACCCCTGTGTTATTAGTGCAGAGATATAACTGCACACTATTGAAACTGATTTGCCTGGACCAGTGCTAAGGAAGCTCTTATACAGTCCAAGTCCCACCCAGTCTTCTGTCGAGAGTCCCCATTTTCCTTGTGAATATACACAAAGTTCAAGGCAAAACGTATATGCGAGGAACCACTGAATTTTGGGCTGATTATTGAAAGTGGGTCACAGTTCCTGTTCACCTCCAAATTCAATTTCTAGGGAAGGCACATACCTTTTCAATCTTCACACTTTGTTGGTCACTTTGGCATTCCTTATGTTTTTAAGGTGTCTAAAGCTTAGGTGGTATCTCCCATTCGTGTGAACTTAAGGCTCTGTGCCATGCTCAGGGAGCAAGATGATGTAAGAATTAGGAGGGAGAGAGGCACTTGGTGACAGAAACGAGGGATTCAAAGACAGGAGAACACACAAGCAGCTTAAATGGAGCGAAAGTGGCAGCAAAAATCAAGGGAAGAAAGCATCAGATCCCATCCTAGCTACTCATCACCGCCACCAACCCGGTGCTCCAGTGCCTCAACAGCTAAAATCCTGCCTGTTTAAGAAGCTTTCTGGCCAGGACCTGAGGTTTGCTTTCAAAGGGAAACCGGGTCTGGCGTTATTTTTTTTCTCCCAGAAAATTGCTTCTTGATTCTGAGACATCTGATCATCAACTTGTCCGGCCTATGGCCACAGTGCTGGGCCTTGCTCCTGCACCCTTAGGAGGCCAAAACTGGTACCTTCTTGCAGCCAGTGGCTGTGCAGCACAGGCTCAGCACTGGCCGACTGGCTGTTTACTAAACTCCACCACATCCCGAATCTGTTAACTCTTCTCTGACCATACCCGAGTCCCACCCCACGTTTCCAGCCTTGAACGCTGCTGCTCTGGCCGGGGATACTCAGGCGGCTGGATTGAAGACAGATGCTCCACCTGTCTGCCTTATGGTTGGAGTTTGAGCCTTTGTGGTCCGAGCCTGACAGGATCGCCTGGCGCTCCCTAAGTCTCCGGGAGCCCGTCGGCTCTTGACCACCTTGCTGGCCCAGCTGAGCTAAGCCTGGTGTTGACTCCGCATTCCTGCGCCTACCGCCTTCAGGGAGGAAAGCTACGGAGCAGATAGATTGGCAATGCCTGGCTCCACGCAGCAGGTCTGGGGTCGTTGATCTCAGGTGCTCTAGGCTTGAGGCTGGCCTCCTGTGGAGTAGGTACTGGAAGATCTTTTTTTCCCCTACACCTCGGAGTTGCTTGGAGCCTCGTGGTGTTATTGTGCAAAATCTCTTTAAACCGGTTCTTTTCTCTAATCCAAAATTACTGGCATGGATTCTTTTTCTCTCCCTCTGGATTATGTAAACATTACACACACACACACACACACACACACACGAGTTCAGTAAGATCACTGCGTTGACACCTCTTCCACTCTGTCTCCCCAGATCAACGCTTCTAGCGAACCCATTTGCACTGGGGATTCAGCCCTCTCTTTTTTCCTGGCGAGGCTTATGAACCTGTCACCAAGCCAGGGCCTCCTTCGAAAGGAGGAAGTGCGGTGGGACTCAAAGGATACATGGCTCCCGCCCCCAGCTAGCTGCTCTTCAGATGATCTGCAACCAAGTTGGCTGATAAAATATTTAGTAACGACCCAGTAAACATGACTGCAAATACATTAAAGCACTTCGGTGCGGCGGCTTATGATTATTTCAAAACTTAAAAAGGAGATCATAGATTGTCACTGTTTCTGTACCCCAGCCGGAAACCGAACCTTCCCGAGGTGGGTTGATGGGTGGGTGAGCTGCTTCGCCTCCACTTCTCCTCTCTTCAGTTTAGGGCTGAAGCTTTCAGCTCAGGAGGTTTGTTTATTTATTTATTTAGTCGTGGCAGTTTAAAGGTGGGGGAGGGGACGTCAAGGACACGCAATACCTACACACAAAGCACAGACTCAGGTGTGTGAGCTTCTGTGTATTAACTGGAAAAGACAGACTCTGGAAGTTTTACAGGGCGAGAAGAGGCCACCGGCTCGCGCTTTGTATACTTTGCACTTGAAATCGTTACATTCAACTGAATATTTGGCTCATTCAGATCCGAAAAGTCTCCTAGCATCATCGAATTCCCTCCTCCGCCCCTCCTCTCTAAAGAGAGAAAGGGGGGGGGGTTAGGAAATGTTTAGTAAATTGCACATCTTTGAATCTTCCTAAAGCAGTGGTCACAAAGCTTAAAGGTGACATAACAGAGCTCACGTAAACCAACACACGTTCCCCACCCCACCCCCAAGCCAACAATAAAATCATCCCCTTCAATTTGCCATGATCGTCGCGACCAGGAGCCAGGTGATTATCCTAATTAATGTCTATCTAATTAAATTACTGTCAGCAGCTAACCAATGGCAGGAGCCGTTTCATCGGCTGCATAAGCAGCGAGATCAAAAGTGAGCCTTTTCTGATTGCTGCATAGTGTCAATTGGCCAATCTCTTCTCCCAGGGAAAAAAAAAAAGTAAATCAAACCTTTGAGAAGCATTTGCTGGTTGAAGTGCTTTCTGTCTAGTGAGGGGTCTGTGGATTCCTAGTTTATGATAAACAGGACTTTAAAACCCAGGGACGGGAGGGCGAGCGTTCAGGTTCTAGAGCTATGCAGCTGGAGCACTGCCTCTCTCCGTCTATCATGCTCTCCAAGAAATTTCTCAATGTGAGCAGCAGCTACCCACATTCGGGCGGATCTGAGCTTGTCTTGCACGATCATCCCATTATCTCGACCACTGACAACCTGGAGAGAAGTTCACCTTTGAAAAAAATTACCAGGGGGATGACGAATCAGTCAGATCCAGACAATTTTCCTGACTCCAAGGACTCACCAGGGGACGTCCAGAGAAGTAAACTCTCTCCTGTCTTGGACGGGGTCTCTGAGCTTCGTCACAGTTTCGATGGCTCTGCTGCAGATCGTTACCTCCTCTCTCAGTCCAGCCAGCCACAGTCTGCGGCCACTGCTCCCAGTGCCATGTTCCCGTACCCCGGCCAGCACGGACCGGCGCATCCCGCCTTCTCCATCGGCAGCCCTAGCCGCTACATGGCCCACCACCCGGTTATCACCAACGGAGCTTACAACAGCCTGCTGTCCAACTCCTCGCCGCAGGGCTACCCTACGGCCGGCTACCCCTACCCACAGCAGTACGGCCACTCCTACCAAGGAGCTCCGTTCTACCAGTTCTCTTCCACCCAGCCCGGGTTGGTGCCGGGCAAGGCGCAGGTATACCTGTGCAACAGGCCACTTTGGCTGAAATTTCATCGGCATCAAACGGAGATGATCATCACTAAACAGGGAAGGTAATGCTACTTTTTTTTTTTTTTTTTTGGCTGCCCGTTGTTCCAGGCGTGACCCTGGGCGAGAGCACCCAAGTTGTGACCGCCGGGCAGCGACGATGTGGGGTCGGGGAGCGGAGTGGAAAGGCGATCGGGTGCGCCCTGGTTTTGGGAAAGGGGAAAGTGGAAGGGATAAAAACCGCCGTGGTGATGTTGGTGGCGGGGAGTCTGCTGTACTAGTGCGGTCAGAGAGTCAGTCAGTGGACGGAGCAAGACGAAGAGCCGCGGCTGCAGCCAGGCGTTAGAGCTTCAAGCTTCAAGGCTTGCCTGTACCGACAGGTGGAGAAGCAGGTCAACCCCGCTCTTCACCCTAGCACTGATACCTGCCGGCCTCTCCACTGCAGAGCACTCTGCTCTGTCCCCGGCTTCGGCCCAAGTCTTCCCCTCTCCCATTACCCCTTTTCTAGAGCAGCAAATATTCGTTCAAACACACTGCGAGGACAAGTTTTGCTTGGCTATCTGGCGCCCCGCTTCTTGCATTTAATCTCTAACATTTATTTTCTTTTTTCCTTGTTTTCTCGCCCTTTTTCATTTAAACAGGCGCATGTTTCCCTTTTTGAGTTTTAACATTTCTGGTCTCGATCCCACCGCTCATTACAATATTTTTGTGGATGTGATTTTGGCGGATCCCAATCACTGGAGGTTTCAAGGAGGCAAATGGGTTCCTTGTGGCAAAGCGGACACCAATGTGCAAGGCAAGTCCTTCCAATTAACACGTTTTCTTGACACTTATTTAGGTGAGAATGATTAATTAAAGCCTTTGTGGACTGGCTCGAGCGACTTTTAAAACGGTCAGCCAATGACTTCCTAAAGAAGAGAGGGACTGGGACAGACTGAGCGCGAGAAAGGGGAGGATTATGCAAAAGCTATTTTAATCATTCCCACTTAATGGGAAGAAATCGCGGCTTAAAAAAAAAAAAGCCCAGTTAATGGTCCTCACTGTGAAGGTGTGTGTGTGTGTGTGTGTGTGTGTGTGTGTGTGTGGTATGTGGTATAGAGTTGGGACTGGACAGTAAACCTATTTTAACAACATCCAGTTAATAGAAGAAAGTATGCCCCCCCTCCCGAAACAGCTAATGGGCTTTACTGTGTAGTAAGGTGTGTGTGTGTGTGTGTGTTTCATGTGCTAAGGACTTGGGACTGGGCAGTGCCCAGAACATATGTAAACAAATTATTTCTTTATCAAGGAAACCGTGTCTATATGCATCCGGATTCCCCCAACACTGGGGCTCACTGGATGCGGCAAGAAATCTCTTTTGGAAAACTAAAGCTGACCAACAACAAGGGAGCATCAAACAACAACGGGCAGGTCAGTCTCTCTCTCTCTCTCTCTCTCTCTCTCACACACACACACACACACACACACACACACACACACACACACACACACCCTTCTTTAGTTTCTAGCATCACGGAAAACTGGTTAGGATTTGCTTCCATCTGTGACGATTTCGAGAATAATATCTTCCTCCCCAGATTATATTTAATTCATTAAGTTGCTGTTTTTACCTTCCACCCGACCTCATTCTGGAATTCACCTTTCCAAACACAAATACTGATAGAATTGTATTGGAAAATAAACGCACGAGATTTGAGATCTGTAGGTTGTGAAAAATCTTTGTTCCTCTTCTAAGGAGGACTAGGGCAAAGGGACTGATGATTGGCATACGGGCTTCGTTTTCCCAGTGCCCAGAGAGGATCCTGGACCCCAGAAATCCGGGTCAGTGTGTCCCGGCCATCCCGTCACCGGGAGAGTCCCACAGCCAGTCTGGTGCAACGGCCTCCAGTTGGCTCAGCCCGGCCCAGAGCGAGCCTCGGAGCTGGTGCGAACAGGCACGCATTAAAAGGCGCTCTCTTTTCTCTTCGCGGACAGATGGTGGTTTTACAGTCCCTGCACAAGTACCAACCCCGTCTGCACGTGGTAGAAGTGAACGAGGATGGCACAGAGGACACCAGCCAGCCTGGCCGCGTCCAGACGTTCACTTTCCCGGAGACTCAGTTCATCGCTGTCACCGCCTACCAGAACACCGATGTAAGGAGGCTCAGGGCTGGGCGCGGGCACGTGGCACCCCCTTATCCCCTGGTCTTCCTTCACCCTCGCAGACTAGCTTTGGCCACAAATGGCCCTACCGCAGGGCTTAGGACAGTGCTAGGCGCCTGTCAGGCCCTTCCCCAAATACCTACCCGGTGGGGGAAGCTCTGCCTGTGTACTTCCAGCCCCGCTATGCCCCCACCCCCAGCTGTGCGGTAGCCACGACTTCTAGGACCGATCCTAGCCGAGCTTGAGTTTGGTTCTTAAACTAGAACACTTCAAAACGTGCATTTTCTTCCTTTGAGAAATCTCGCTTTCAGGAAACAGGCAGAACTACCCCGTGCATTTTATTAGCAAGTTAGAAAATCTAAAATAAAACGTTTCTAAAATCTCATAGCCGGTGTCTAAAATGAACAGATATTACTGTTTTGAGAGTTCAGAGCAGGAAAGAGAGTACATACACATTCGTAGATACGCGATGTGAAAACTCCAATAAAATCAAGTTACTGGGACTAATGTAGTTTGCTAGCACTAGAACTTTCGCAGCTTTTGCATGTTTGCAAAAACTGAGCTGACTCTCTAGAACTATAGAAGTTTTTTGTCTGGTCATATAAGTCAAAATATCAGAAATGGGAATAATTATTTAAAGTCAACCCAATTTTAGGATGCAGTTTACAGTCTTATTTTTTTCTTTGTATCGAGAACCAGAATTGGCCCATGTAAAAAATATCTGTGGTTAAACGCTTGAAAACTGTACAGAGTTAAAGATATTAAGGATTTTTGTCTTGGTGCATTGCACGCAGTCAGTATTTTTTAATGACTATTTGAGTCAACTTCTAGCACACAGGGAGCTAACTGAAATGCTATTGGGTCTTATTAATTTAAACCCGGCTCCACAACTTTCCCAATACTTATTGCTGTTCCTCTCCTGCTGTGCTCTTAAAGTTTTGCTAGAGAACCTTTGCTGTTTAATGACTCAGTAGGCCCAAGTCCCTGTCAATGGCAGATGTGTCAAACACACAACCTTCCCATGCAGAAGGTGAGACCACAATCACCCTTTCTTCTCTTTCTCCAGATTACACAACTAAAAATAGATCACAACCCCTTTGCAAAAGGATTTCGAGATAATTATGACACGTAAGTAATTTTACATGTTCCTTTGCAGATAACTGTTGAACTGGCCACTAGCTTTAGGGTCAATTGTTGTGTTTAAGGATTCTGAAAGTCAAATGTGTGAGAAAATTGGTTGGGATTTTCCCTCCCTTATCATGTTGGTTCCCTCTCTGGTAACCTTGTGGCCTGGTATTTGTGTGATTTCGGTTAGAAGGTTTTTTTTTTTTCTACGTATTCTTAGCTTTCTTTCAAATTCCAAAGATGTTGGCCACCCCTGGGGTTGGCTGACTGGCTGAGGAAGCTGCCCTGGTTCTTCCCAGCGTTTGTTGTGCATGTGGCTGCAGGTGCTCAGTTCAGATGGGCTGTGTCTGAAACGGGGCTATTCTGCCTGAAAGTGCGTGTGGCCCTGGCAGCTGTTATGGTCTCCTTGGCATATGTGACTTTTAGTTACCCACTTCCAAGTTTTGCATGGTAGCATTTCCTGTGCAGTTTACTATGGACCGAGTGAAGACGTGCTCTCCCCAGGCGAATTTGTGAGCAGAGCCTAACTCAGTCTCTGCAGGCTTCGGGCAGCACTGAGGTGTGCTTGCATCTTATTCGTAAGCTTCAGAAGAAACATGGCTCCTCTTACTTTTTGCATATATGGTTTAATTAAATGTGTGGGTTCCTTTTCTTTGTCTCCCCCCATCTCTAGGCCTTTCTCAGAGCAAGACTGTCGTTTGGGGCAGCAGTAGATGCAAACTGAGTTTTTTTCTATATTTGCTCTGGGATTCTCACGCAAGGACTATAGTCCCTAAGAGTTTTCAGAAAGTGTTATATAGCAAATTGTAAAGTGCGATTGTGTGATTTGCCTACCTCTTTTTTCTGTCTATTAAAGATAAAGAGAAATATGCACTTCAATTTCCTGGCCTTGGGATAGAGCTAAAGTGTTGACTAGGTCTTTGACTAGGAACAGATTAAATGTGTGGAGGAAGAGACAAGGAGCTCCTGTGCCCCAATCTCCAGACACCATCTCCCCTCTCAATATTTTTTATAGTAAGTGGGAGAGTAACTGGTATCTACTGGCTCCAACTTTCTTACGTGTGCCCCCAAAAGCAGTTTAAAGCAGCCCCCTTCAAAATTACGAATGTGATTCTCTAGAATAAAACTTTGCTGCTTCAGGTCTCAAAATATGAAAAAAGATGGACCCAAAACAGTGGAAAGAATGTGGCCCAAGAGACTAGGGATGTTGGAAGAGAGCTGTACAGATTTTGAGCTTTTAATTCTGCTAACATCTGTTCATAAGCATTTATTTTGCACAAATCAATTCAGTAATCCCAAGTGTTTTGAGAGCTGGATGGGCATCTAAACTGTATCTTTTTTCAGACTGCTTTTTTTTTTCTTTTAAAGAATATTGTGGTGGCAAACAGAAGATATTTGTACATTGCTAATTATGTCCCCTTTCTGCTTCCCTCCACTTAAAAAAATGAAGCAGAAATTAAATTTCAGGAGGGAATATTTCATTTATTTATTTATTTGTAAGCAGAATGCCCCTGGGCAGCCATTGTAAGTCTCATCTGCCCCTGTCCTCTGGCTGCCTTCTGTTGGATAAGCCCCTCCCTTTCTTAGACCAGTGGAAGTTTGTTGTAAAGATTTTGTCTATACAAAAGTAATCCCTGGTTTGGAGGGGGGGGGGGATGAGAGGGCGTGGGGGTGGGGTGGGGCATGAGAGTTCAAGGGATCCTAGAAGATTGCTTGGCTACACCCTGGGAAGTGGTCTCTCTTTAGGATTAAGATCTGACAATTCCAAGGCACTACTTTAAAACCTGTGTGCTGAGTAAAGATGCAAACACTTAGGTATGTTTGCATGTCTATGAGGAAACACATCATTGACCAACTTCAATTCTAATGGGATCACCCAGGCCCAGGGCCTAAAGTGAATATTTTATCTAAGGTTATCCAACCCCCCCACCCCCCCACCCCCGCCAAACACAACCTCTCTTGATTATTGGGCAAATTCTGTAACTTTCCTTTGCCTCAGTTTCCCTATCAGTACCTAAGAGAATTGTTGTGAGCTAAGGAAATCTACCTGAGCTTATGTACACAGCTCCCATGTGCCCAGCCCCGCACCTCCAAGCTCTGTAAAGAAGGGTTATTAGTGGTGGGCTGCTTGGAGGAAGGGGCTAACTATAAGTTCCCCCCCAAAAGGGCCTTTTTTCCTCCTCTTTTTCTTTTAGTAATGGATCAAAAGCTGGGTAGAGAAGACTAAAGTACACTTTTTCTTCTAAAGAATTTTACTGATTATTAAGTGTTGCTTCCAAGTAGTAGCTTCTACTTTTTTTTTTTTTTTTTTTTTTTTTTTTTTTTTTTTTTTTTTTTGCAGCGGTAGAGATGGGAATTAAAGGGCGTTCATAGGCGGCAGACAAAAGTACTTAGAGGATTCCAGCAGCAATCCTCTGGGCCTCTGGCTGGTTAAAGTCAGCCTTTGACGCTATTACCTGGACAAGTCTGTCCTCACTCTCCCTTCGCGGTTTCCTCCCTGGGGATTTCTCAAACTACCTAGAAAAAGAAAAGGAATCCTCTCAACTACTCAATAAACATAGGAGGTCTTAAAAGGGTGGAGAGAGTGGGCCACTTGTTTAGAAATTTCACTCGGAGATTCCCCAGAGAGGAAAGGCCCAACGGGCAAAGAGCACCTTGGTGCTTGGATAACTCTGCCACAATTTGAGTACGGTTCTGGATCAGTGGATGGAGGTCCCCCATCTTGTTCCCCGTGCACTTAGCGGTAACGGGAAGATGGAAGACCTCTACTCTTCGCTTTGTGTCAGGCTCGGGGGTCCTGCAGCTAAACTGGTATCCCTCCAGTTTGGGCTAGGGAGGGTGCGGGTCTATGATCTTCTGCCGTCTGCACCCTGTATGGCAAACGCAACTTCCAGATGGACGGTGTGCGGGTGGGCAACACTAGAGGTGGCTTTCCCTCCAGGACCCTCCAGGGACCTCCGCGCCATCCCTCGGTTCTCTCTTTCTCCCTTCCCCTCAGGATCTACACGGGCTGCGACATGGACCGCCTGACCCCCTCGCCCAACGACTCTCCGCGCTCGCAGATCGTGCCCGGCGCCCGCTACGCCATGGCCGGCTCTTTCCTGCAGGACCAGTTCGTGAGCAACTACGCCAAGGCCCGCTTCCACCCGGGCGCCGGCGCGGGCCCCGGGCCGGGGACGGACCGCAGCGTGCCGCACACCAACGGGCTGCTGTCGCCGCAGCAGGCCGAGGACCCGGGCGCGCCGTCGCCGCAGCGCTGGTTCGTGACGCCGGCCAACAACCGGCTGGACTTCGCGGCCTCGGCCTACGACACGGCCACGGACTTCGCGGGCAACGCGGCCACGCTGCTGTCGTACGCTGCCGCCGGGGTGAAGGCGCTGCCGCTGCAGGCCGCGGGCTGCACGGGCCGCCCGCTCGGCTACTACGCCGACCCCTCGGGCTGGGGCGCTCGCAGCCCCCCGCAGTACTGCGGCGCCAAGTCGGGCTCCGTGCTGCCCTGCTGGCCCAACAGCGCCGCGGCGGCCGCGCGCATGGCCGGCGCCAACCCCTACCTGGGCGAGGAGGCCGAGGGCCTGGCGGCCGAGCGCTCGCCCCTGGCGCCCGCCGCCGCCGACGACGCCAAGCCCAAGGACCTGTCCGACTCCAGCTGGATCGAGACGCCCTCGTCCATCAAGTCCATCGACTCGAGCGACTCGGGCATTTACGAGCAGGCCAAGCGGAGGCGGATCTCGCCCGCCGACACGCCGGTGTCCGAGAGCTCGTCCCCGCTCAAGAGCGAGGTGCTGGCCCAGCGGGACTGCGAGAAGAACTGCGCCAAGGACATAGGCGGCTACTACGGCTTCTACTCGCACAGCTAGGCCGCCCGGCCCGCGCTCGCCCGCGCCCTCCCCGGCCCCTCTGCTCTGCCCCACGTCCTCCTTCCCCAGGCCCGCTCTTGCGCACTCGCTCTTTCACTTGACCCTCGATGACCGTCTGCGGGGGATAAGTGCAGGTCTCCCATTATCATTTTTTTTTTTTTTAAAAAAAAACCTCTTTCCTTTCTTTCTGCACAGCCGTCTCCGCAGTTAGCGCACCGACCTTGAACCTGGCTGTGAACCTTGTGGTTTTCCAACTTTTCTTCTGTGAAGTTATTATTATGATCTTTCCCGTCCTTTTGTTTCTCCTTTTTTTTTTCTCACCTTCTCCTTCTTTCTCTTGGAATGAAAACTCTTCAACTTTAGGAGACCTGGGCAGTCCTGTCAGACAGCAGCGATCCCGACCCGCCTTGTCTTGGCCTCCCTATTAACCATAGGATGTTGACTCTAGAACCTGCACCCACCCAGCGCGTCCTTTCTTATACCCGAGTGGATGGATGGATGGATGGATGGTAGGGATGTTCATAATTTTAGTGGAACAAAGCCTGTGAAATGATTGTATATAGTGTTACTTTATTGTAACGAATGGCTAGTTTTTATTCTCATCGTCAAGGCACAAAACCAGTTCATGCTTAACTTTTTATCCCCCTCTTTCTTTTCTTTTTCTCCTCTCTTTCTTCCTTGCTCTCCCCACCCCCTTTGTTTTCTTGTGAGATATTAAAGATACTCTAAGAGGCTCTGGAAACATGAAACACGCCGTAAATGACCGCTCTCTCTCTCACTTCTCAGTTCCTTGCACGGTGTAACCACTGTGTGCCCTAGGGCACACACAGTAGCTAAGGGGACGCCACAGGAACACCTGTAAAAGCTAGTTAGTCTGTTCCTAGGCAAGCCCGTTAAGTGGCCTGAAGCCCGCAAAGCAGAGTCAACTGGAGTTGTCTGTCCCCCCCCCCCCACTTCCTCTAAATGGAGTAGCTCCACATCAGCAATATTATTTTGCCTTATTTGTTTTTCCCCAAAGTGCCAAATCCATTACTGGTCTGTGCAGGTGCCAAATATGCTGACAAACTGTTTCTGACTCTCTTCTCGGTCCCCACGCCACCTTTCTATGCTGTAAATCTTTGTAATGAATAATCTACTGATATAGATGACTGGATTGTTGGTAACTCTAGTGTAGTCTAGTGAAGATGAATTGTGTGAGTTGTATATTTTACTGCATTTTTAGTTTTGAAAACGATTCCCCACCACCACTGAGACAGCTGAAATCTGACTTCCTTGGGAGAAAGAACACTAGCATTATTGCAAGTAAGACTGATTCCCCCCCAAGTCTTGTTATATTCGGTAAGGAGCATTCAATCCCCCTGGAGATAGACTAGTAGCATTTCTAATGTTGTGTAGCAAACTTATACTTTTTTTTTGTACTTTAAAATCAATGTGAAATATGCATCATACACAATATTCAATCTAGATTCCAGTCCACGGGGGATTTTTTTCCTAATAGGAATTCAGGGTCTAAACGTGTGTATACTTTGGCTCTTCTGTAAATCAAATGTTGTGATTTTTTATATTTGTTTTGTTTTTGTCTGTGAATTGAATAATTTATACAAGTACACACTCCACTGAGAATCGTTTTGTTTTCTGCTCGTTTGTATCGTCTGTGTATAACAAGTAAAATAAACCTGGTAAAAACGCTAACCGTGGTGTTTGAGAGCAGTCTGCAAATGATTCCTCTAGGTTATGGCTTTGAAGGGTTCAGCAAGGCTAGCCCCTTCCCTCTGCTCTGGGAGTCTTATAGTAACCACTTCCTACGGTCCCCTTAGTTTTATTTTGTGGCACCACTAAGGACTATTTTCTTCTTATTTACAGTTATTTCATTCTCTATGAGTGTAGTTCTCTTTACTGCTGTGTTTTTGTTTTTGTTTTTTTCTAGGGAAATCCATGCACCTTCTCTCTCCCAGCTCTGATTCTCTCTGAAGTTGAAGCGACAGGAAAAGGAGTGTCTTTAGTGAGCTAAGGATCTCTTTAGATTTCACACAGCAACCTGTCAGGCGTTAGGTGAGAGAGCAGGGTGCAACTGAAAGCGAGTCAAGCCAAACTGTTGACTGCAGGTGCTGAGAAAGGTGGTTTTACAAAGAGGCCTTGGAGGTGATGGGTTATAGAGACAAACACCCGAAGGGCCGACGTCTCTAGAGAGGGTGGTTTCAGGTATTGTTGTTCCCAGTGGGGTGGAGAAAGACCCGCAGGACCAACACGTGGAAGGGTGGTTTTTAAGGACTGAGTTAAAACTTGCTTTGGAGAGGGGCTGGCGAGTGAGGGGTGATGCCTGGGGGCGGCTACTCTTTCTTCTGTAATGGAATCCTTGCCGCGGTTTTACCCAGGCCAGGTCCTCTCCCCGAGAACAAATGGCGGTGAGGAATTTCATGCTCAATTCTGTCTTTACCTCAGAGAGGCGACTTCTGGACTTTAGTCTCCAAAGAGAAGGTGAAGTCGGGAAGGGGCAGGGACTGGTTCAACCTTCTCCTTTAGTGGGAGTTGGCCTGGGGTGACAGAACTAAATTTACCAGCAACCTGAGTTTGCCCTGTGTCCCCTTTGTGGTGTGATAGCTGTAAAGAGGCTTCAGAATTCCAATTAAAATGAAAGGTCGAGGGAGAGAGAGATTGCAGTGATTTGCCTTCCCTGGATAATCCCGCCGCTAGACGGCGTTCCGTGGATTCTTGTGTGCCACAGAGAGGAGAGAGGGAGAGAGAGAAAAAAAAAGATGACTGATTTTCTTTGTTTTTCCTTTCCCCTCTCCTCACCTACGAAGTAAAGACGACGACAAAAAGTACAAAACACGGTGTGTGTGTGTGTGTGTGTGTGTGTGTGTGTGTATGTGTGTGTGTGTGTTGGGCAAGCCATGGAGCAGTGCGTGCCCGGGACCATGCACCCACCCAGCCAGGGCCCAGCAGCAGCAGCAGCACGTGCAGCCCCGGGGCCGCGTGGAGGCCGCGCGCGCGCTCGCGGGGGGCCAGGGCTCCGGGGGCGCGTGGCCGCGAGCTGTCCGAGCGGCGCTCGCCCCCGAGGCCCGCTCGCGGGAGCGCGCCGCCCGCCTCCCATGCCCCGGTCCCGGGGAGCCCGGGAGCGGTGTCAAGTGCGTCAGCGAAGCCCCTAGACTCCGAGGCGAGTTCTTTTCACAGGAACGGGGCGCCTCGTGCCGAAAGCCGCGCGCTCGCTGCTCTTAGCAAAGCTTAAAAAACACCGGGGAGGTCGTTTGCCTCGCAGCTCCGCCATCTGCTGTGTGGACTGAGTCAGCGTGAGGTAAATTCGCAGCCACGCGCTCCTGCTCGGAGGCCGTGTGCGTTCTGCTCCCCTGACAGCACGAGCGCGCGCGGCTCCCCCTCGCGGGGAGGAGGCTGCGTGTCCGCGGGGCGGAGGACTTGGCCCTCCGGGGCCCCGGGGCCGTCCAGGTTCACGCCCCGGGCCGCCCTCGGCGGGCACCCAGAGCGACGGCCAAGCCTCCCCGCGAACTCAGTCCCCCAGGTTTTCGAAGGCGCGCTGCCACAGACAGGGAGGAAGGAAGGGGTGAGGGGAGCGCGCCACCCTTGGCGTCCTCCGCCCACTTCCCGCCCTTGGCCACCCGCTCGCCATCTTGCTGGTCGGTCCCCCCGTCCGTCCGTCCGTCCGTCCGCCCGCCCGTCCGTCCGTCCGCCCGTCCGTCCGCCCGTCCGCCCGTCCGTCCGTCCGTCCGCCCGTCCGTCCGTCCGTCCGTCCGTCCGTCCGTCGAGCGCTGCGCAGCTGCTGCTGGGCCCTGGAGGCCTAAGCCCGCCTGGTGCAGGCTGATGCCGCCCCTTGGCTGCCAGTGTGGCAGGACCCGGGCTCTACCCTAATGGCTCGCGCCAAGCGAGAAGCCCAGGCCTCAGGCCAGAGTGAGGCCTGGTAGGAGCCCTCAGCGTGGGCCTCGACGTGCAGGAGGGCGGCAGGGTGTCAGGCCTGGGGTCCCGCAGCAGGGCCAGGCCTTCGGGGTCTCAGCCTGCTGCAAAGCCAGGCCTCTGCACTTAGTAGCCTTCAGGACCCCCCACAGGGGTTATTTAGTTAGTTTTTAAGTTATCAGCAGAGAACTTACTGACCCTTTTATGTCACAAATCATATTGTTCCTGAGTTTTAAAACTGAAATAACGGGAGCTGTTAGTAATTAGGAACTTAGAGCCTATGGAGAACTTAAGATCCTGATATCCGGAAGTTATATTGTCTTGCAAATCCAACTGTTAATAGTTCTTTTGGGACTCACCCTTTTGGGGGTGATATTTATCCTTTCAGCAGTGAAGTTTCGAAGGAGTTTCGGTTTAGAATAAAGGTTAGGAACGGAGCTTTATTAAATGGAGTCCGTATACATTCTTTAAAAAGTTTAAGGCAAGTGATAGACAATGTATGTTCATAAGCAATTTTATGAAAATATTCAGCTTGGTTTCAAGGGCAGCACGTTGTTTGCATGTGTCTGGTTAGTCAGTCACAGGCGTTTTGGACAAGGCATAGAAAAAAAAGTGGAACCTATGATCCTATGTTTTAAAAGGAGCGTGGTGTCTAGGTTTCCTCGAAAGAAACAGCAGCAATAGATAAGCTTAGGTATGAAGCTCCTTCAACCCAGTTTTTAAAATATCTAATTAAGTATGGCAGCAACTGTGTATTTAAGCAGTTCAAATCTTTGTGAATTACTAAAGTCATTGAAGTTAGATTTTCTTTTCCCAGATCAAGAGGATGTGAGTGTCTCTGAGAGGACAGACAAAACAGGCAACGGTTTGGCCATTGCATTACACTTAGTTTAGATCAACGGTTTTGAAAGTTGCATGTCTTTTTGTTTTCCCTCTTTGGCTTGTGTATTAGGTTATCACACTTAGAAACGTATTCCCTTGAAAGAAACCCCACTGCTTTCACAGTTAAGTAAACTTGATGGTGTACAAGTCACTGGTCCCATCTGAGCTGATTATGTCGGCCTTGCGTGTATTTTACACCCACAGTATGGTTT